TCCTACAAAAACTAACTATCCAATGCCTCTTCTTTTTTGATATCCTGTAGAGTAACATCAGCTTCATGCTTCAAAGTATTTTGAATAATAATGAAAAATTCTCCTCTTTATACATTGATGATTTACAACAGGTATCTTATTCCTTCCAGTCAAGCTACATGCTTCCTCTTCAAATCTTTGAAATTAAATTATCCTTCTCTGGACACGCTCCAGCAGCTCAATGTCTTCTTTCTGGAAGTGATGGGCCCAAAAGCGAACACAGGATTTGAGGTGCAGCCTCACCAGTGCTGAGTACAGGGGAAAAACCACTGCCCTGGTCCTGCTGGCCACACTATTGCTGATACAAGCCAGGATACCATTGGCTTCCTTGCCCACCTGTCACACTTCTGGCTCATGTTCAGCCACTGTCAATCAGCACCCCCAGGTCCTTTTTCGCTGAGCTGCTTTCCAGAAACTTTCGAAGAGTCAACTTCAGCCTTTGTAAGAAGATGTCAGAAACAGAATATCACAAGGTAAAAATTAATCTACCTGAGGAAAACTCACTAACATTTCTACGCATACTTAGCAAATTGAGAGATTGACAGGTCACCTTGTCACAGAGGGAGATTGGGTTGGTCCAGAAGGACCTGCCTTTCATAAACCTGTGCTGGCTAGGCCTGAGCCACTAGTTGTCCTATACCTACCAAATGGTGGCACTCAAAATAATCTGCCCTACGACCATTCCCAGCACTGAGGTCAGACTGACAGTCCTGGAGTTCTGCAGATCCTCCTTGCAACCCTTCTTGCAGATGGGTGTCACAATGGCCAACCTCCGATTATCTGGGACCTCCTTGGTTAGCCAGGACTGACGACAAATGATGTAAAGTGGTTCAGTGAACACTTCCACCAGATCTGTCCATACCCTCGGGTGGATCCCATCTGGCATGATAGACTTGTGTGTGTCCAAGTGATGTAGCAGGTTGTGAACCTGTACTCTTGAATTACTGGGGCATACTCCCTGTCCCTGTCTTCCAGCTCAGAGGGCTGGGTACCCAGGGAATAAGTGGTCTAGCTATTAAAGACAGAGGCAAAGGAAGCATTAAGTAGCCGAGCCTCTTCCTCATCCTTTGTAACTATGTTTCTCCCCACATCCAGTAAAGGATGGAGATTCTTGTTATTGTTAAGGTATTTATAGAAACATTATAGAAACATTTTTATTGCATCTTACTTCAGTAGCCAAAGTTTTAGTTGGGCTTTGGCCATTCTAATTTTCTCCCTGCCTAACCTTACAACATTGTTACAGTCTTTCTGAGTTGCCGGACCCTTCTCCCAGAGGTCATTCGCTCTCCTCCTTTTCCTGAGCTCCAGCCAAAGCTCCCGTATTCAGCCAGGCTGGTCTTCCCCACCAGCTCATCTTACAGACCACAGGAATGGCCCACTTCTCTCCTTTAGCACTGCCTTCTTGAAGAATGTCCATCTTTCCTGGACTGCCTTTCAGGACTGCCTCCCAGGAGATTCACGCAACCAGTCTTCTAGACAGGACAAAGTCTGCCCTGCAGCAGTCCAAAATAGAAGTTCTGTTGACTCCTCTCCTTATTTCTCCAAGAACTGAAACTATCATTTTACAATCACTGAGCCTAAGATGCCTCCAACTATCACATCACCCCCCAGTTCCTCTCTTGTTTGCACACAATAGGAGCAGTGAGGCACCTTCCCCACTGCAAGCTACTCAAATTTCACACAGATGTCCAACAACAATGCTCTAAAATATCATCCACAATTAATAGATTATTCAGATAAAGCTGGAAAGTAATACACATGTAGCTGAAGTCAGTGTCATTGTATTGGTAAATCACATGGGGATCCGAGAACCTTGTAAAGGAATCAGGATCATAAATGTCTCTGAGACACCTACCATCAATGGCAAACACATTTCAGATAAAGTGGAAGTGAAATTTGGCTGCAGACATTGCTTAACATTGGGACATCACTTGCTTCAATAGTCTTGCCTGCATAACTTTCTTTCCCCAAGGCATCTGATCAGTAACTCAAGGCCGACTTGTTTGCAGGTTCCCTTTGTCAGTCTGGCTTTTGCAAGAGCCCCATACACAATTTTACAATTTAGGTAGGACTAAAGAAGAGTGTAATTAATTCCTGACAAGAATAAACTGAGGACAGTGAATACTGTTGCATATTCTCTGCCCTGCCTTTACCCAAAAACTCTGTACCTACATGTGCAGAGAGATGACAGATTATATATTAACTGTCCCTCACAAGTAGCTGGACAGGTCTGGTATATTATAGGAGTATATTAGCAGTGATATTCTGACAGTTCAGGTAACTGTATTCATTAGTCTCCTTGTAATGGGAAGCTCACTCAAATCTCTTAGGATCTCCTAGAGGAAAATCTGTAAAACTGGTTTTAAAGGACTGCATTGTACTTTTCCTTCTCACCCTATTTAGTCAAAACGTTTGAAACATTTATTCTTGTTCCAATTTTATCAACTGGAAAACTGGATATACTTATACATATTTCATAGGCTTTTTAGAGGAAAACCAAAACCAACTTTCATTCCAGAGACCATCCCAGCAACCCTCGGAGGAAGGTATGCTGCCCAAAAACTCATCATGAGTGGTATGAGAGTTTTTCAGACTTCTTCAGTGACAAGGAGGCATGGTTTTTCACAGGATTGTTCCAGCAGATCAATAGAGCACTCATGTTCTTGAGTCTCTTCCTCCTCTCTCATGTCAATAGCACAACTCTTGAGTTGCATTGTGACTGAGCAATTCATTCAGGGACCTTATGTGAACCAGAGTATTTGTAGATGAACAGGGCATGGATTCTAGGTGGGCACAGGTAACCTTCGAGAACCTCAAGTTGCTTCCAAGTTGTTGATACAGAAGCTGTTGATGCAGAAGCTCTAGTCAAAGAAAAGAAGCCACATTTCCATCAGTTCTGAAAGTGAGAAAAATCTTTGCAATGAGTGACAAAACTTTTCATTGCTAACTATTCCTAAGATTTGCAACTACTTAGTATTGAAAACTGTCCGACGACACCAGATGCCACCCACAGGCTTCTCAAGGTATACCAGAGTTCAATCACTACCCTAATTTACAACTGGAACTCCATAAAATAAAGACTCTGTTCTATTAACATGTGTAAGTGGTACATAGTTGAGGGGAAAAAAACCAACTCACATGGCCCTGGATTTATTCTTTTTCCTAAGGAAGCAGATCAGCTTAAACTACTTTATAACTGCATTACTGCACAATTCACATCAAACTGACACAAAAAATCAGAGAGAGAACCCAACAGCCAAAATGATCATACAGCTCACTAAAATTTGCAGAAGCTTCTGACACTAGATCATTGGCTTCAGAGGTACTAAGAAATTTCTCAGAAGTCCTTTCTGAAACAAAAAGACACTTCCAAATTCAAAATTCCTACTGCAAACTCCTGCTGTGGCCAAACCCCAAGATGAACTCTGGGGAGAACAGTAAAATACAAAAGGAGTCCAAAACAATAGTTCTTCCTGAAGAGAAGAAACTGTTAGTCACATAAAGCAACTAACATAGAGGAGAGAGACTACTGTATTGAGGGCTTTGTAGATAATTCTGTCTCTCACAGAAAGAATTCCATCCTCGTTTTTCAGTCATGACAGAATGGCCACAAACCCTGAAATACCCTGGATTTAGGAACACTGATATAAAACAGGAGATAACTTGCTCCACCTCACCACACTGTAGATACCAAGGAAAAAGGGAGCCAATTCATAGGCCTTTTGCTCCCTGGGACTCACCTGCCCTCAGATCCTCTTCTGCAGGCACTGCATGGAATTCCATCCCTGTTGCTCCCCACTGCCCCAGTACAGCAGACTAGAGCAACACACAAGACATTGAGGAGTTTTGATAGAAGAGGGTAAGACTGGCAAGTAGGGGGCTGAGCTGGCTATTCGGTATGGATTTCATAGCAGTTGTCAAACTTCGGTAGACAAAACAGCCAACATGTATTTTGAAAGAAAGGGAAGGCCAAACTCTTATGGACCAAGCAAGGAATGGGAGAATATGATAAAGAATTACAAAATCTATAAAAAACCAAACAAATATCTAGATGATATCATTTTAGGAGCATAATATATCAAGTCACTTAAGCTTCAGTTTTACTCAAAAGATAATTTTTAAAATTAAAATGAAAGTA